TGGATCCCGGGCACGCACGGAGGCACTGCTTGTCAGGCCATGCTGTGGCAGCGTCCCATATAAGGTGGAGGAAGATGGGCATGGATATTAGCCCAGGGCCAGTCTTCCTCAGCAAAAAGAGGAGGACTGGCATGGATGTTAGCTCAGGGCTGATCTTCCTCACAAAAAAAATAAAAATAAAAAAATAAAATAAAATAAACTCGCCCCAACCCTGTGAGGGGCCAGTAGGCACATTATCGTTAAAAGGTAGAAGCATTACTGAATCATACCTTCTCTTCCAGCTTTCCAACTCCCAGACCCAGAGATCAGGCTCAGGGCAGGTGGAGGCATAGCGAGGGCAGACAGAAGAGAACTGGAGCCCATCCAGTGCTGTCTCGCCAGAGGAGCGGATGGGTACCCGCTTTTCCAGGATGAGTTTGAGCCAGGCAGTTCTGAATTCCCTGGCAGGCGGCTGGGACTGAGTCTGCACTTCTCTACTCCCTCTGCAAAGAGAATGCTCAGAGCTTTAATTATATCTTCCCTCCCGATCTGTTGTGGGCCCCTAATTACCCTCTTCCCAGGGCAGCAGCTGCTAGATTATTTCCCAAACACCTTTGAAGCTTCAGAGTCAAAGCCTCCCATTGGCTCTACGTGACTGTACAAGGACAGCAAAATGGGCTGGTTGGAGCGATAATTGAAGAAGACCCAAAGGCCCCCATGACAGGGTCTAGACAGGAAACTGTGTCCAGCTGCCTCCCAGTGGCCCCTCCAGAGTTGGCTTCTATTCGGGAACACCAAGGGACATTGTCCTTCCCTAGGAAGGGACACTAGGGAAAGGGCAATTCCAGTCTCGTCCCTTGCATGCTGAGTGGTGGCCATGGAGCATTGCAGAGTGTCGGCCTCGTGCCTCATCAGAGCAGTGAAACCTTACAGCTCACAGGACAGTGCGCCATGTGTGTGCATGCTGTCCCCCCCACTCCCTCCTCTGTCAGCCTGCCGGTGGGCAAGCCCCCCAGGGAGACCCGGTCTGATCATTGAGGACAGGTTCCTCTACATTCAAACGGAGCTGAAACTATCCTCGCCCTGCAGGCTCGGGCAGGAAAGCCATTTAGGGATTTCTGTTGAGCCAATATACTTACTGATTTATGGGCCTTCTGATAAAATGAAGACTCCACTCCTGGGTATTCCTTAAAGATTTTTTTTATTATTCTAGAAAATTCTGACTTTCACTCCATCCACTGAACTGAAACTCCTCTCTTGAATTCAGATCACCAGTATCATGTTGTGGGCCCCAGGGCCTCTCCCGCTCAGACACCCAGGGCTCATCTCAGCTGAGGGCAGGACTCCTGGCCTCCCTACCCCCTTGTCTGCCCCACACACCCAAGAATAGAGCCTCCCATTTGTCCCGATCCCCCCTTCCCCAGGGCTCCTCTTGCCAGAGCCAGCTAAAGACACTGCACCTTCCTAAATTCTCCTCTGCCCAGTGGCTTCTGAAACACATCAGTAAATCCTCTTTATGTTTTCAAAAGAGCTCAAGGCACAAGTAACCATAGGGAAGCCACTAGTGGTTAACAAAAATCCAGCAGGTTGTTGGTTTTCATTCAAAGTAAGAAAGAGCCAGGGCTAAACTTTCTCAGCTGCTGTCAGGGCCCAGCCCATAATTCCGGGGGCAGCCTTGCCCATGAGAATACCTTTCTTTTTTTTT